TGCCACTCTGCTCTACTGGATTTCAAAATTCCTGGATTCTATGAATTTTGATTTCTGAGGGGGTTTTTTTATGGTCCTCTTTTTGATATTTTATCATTGAAAAATTTCAATATATGAAGAAATTAGAATAATATAATGAACTCCATGTACTTTTCATTGGCTTCTCCATTTATCAAACTATGACCAATCTTGTTTTTATATCCCCATCTACCTCTCAACCCCATGTTATTTTGGGACAAAAATCAGAGATCATGTTATATCCATAAAATATTTCAATATGTATCTCTCAAGGGTAAGAATTCTGTTTATTTAAATAGTTAATTATAATACTATCATTATGCCTAAAAACATAAAATTAATAATAGCACCTTAGTTTCCTTAAAATCTTTAATAAATGTTCAATTTTCTAGATTATCTTGTGATTATCATACTTTCACTGATTTTTTTATATATTCCCTATGCCTTTGAATCAATACCTAAATGAGACTTGTAAATACAAGTACACGTAATAGATATTTCTTGTGTCTCTCTGAATCTCTAGGCTTTTCCTCTGTTTTCTTGTTTTATTTGTTTAACTTTTTAAAGATACTAAATTGCTTTTGTAATCTGGATGTTGGTGCTCACATCTCTAATGGCATTGATTACCATTTCCTCTATTGTCCATACTTCTGTATGTATTTAAATAGAGACTTTAATTAATTTTTTGCATAGAAGAATTGGGGTTTAGATATTTGGTGCAGGATATAAAAGGACTCACCAGAGATCATGGGTATCAGAACAGAACAGGAGGATTTACTAAAGTGCACTGCTAAGCGGAGCAGAGGGCAAGATGGGAGAGGTCTGCTGCATCCCATGTGGACTAGCTCTCTGGGCAGGGATGGAACTCAGGCCATGGCAGTGATAGTGCTAAGACTTAACCCCTAAGGTACCAGGGAGGCCGAAGACTTTAAGTTTTTTTTGTTGTTGTTTTGTTTTGTTTTTTAAATTTATTTATCTGTGCATACAGAACTGGGGTACAGGCCAGAGGCTCAGGGGTGGCAGGAGGCTTCACCAGAGACAGAGTGGGGAGTAGAACAGGCAGATGGATGAAGTACACTGCTGAGGGGAGCAGCGGGCTGGTCAGGAGAGGTCTGCCACCCCATGTAGTCACCTCTGGGGCAGGCAGGGATCGAACTCATGCAGAAGTGGCTTTAGCTTCTCAGTGCTGTGCTTTAACCCACTGTGCCACCAATGAGTGCCGACTTAAAGGTTTTATAATTTTATTTTTATAGGGATAGCGTGTTCCTCTAGTAGAAGGCCCATGATATCTAACAATTCTCATTTTGTGTTATTAGCAGCTATCAATATGAGTACATTAAAAAAAAAAAACACTTAAGGGGAAAGACAAATATCAAGCAAATACCAAAGGCCACTTATATGTGGAATATAGAGAGACAAAACAAAGGGTCAGATAAAGCCAAGCCAGTAATCCTAAACAATCTAACTGTAGAACTGTGGTTACCAGATAGGGAGGGGCAACTATGAGAACAAAGTAGGAAGAGAGCACAGTGGATTTTGGTGGTATAATGTGGGTGTTTTTGTGATAGTTGTGGTATGATAACACCTACATGGGTAGATCCTTTACTTCTAAAGCACAAGGTAAACTACTGTTATTTTGCTAAGAAATAAATAAAATGTTACTCATCTTGTGAAAAGAAAAACATACTCAGTACATGATCTGTCAAGTCATCAAGCATTGCAAAATTGTGATATTCTATTATTCTTCAATTATAAGGAAAATTATTCTCCTCCTCTATTGGTATAGTGATTTAACTTGTTTGGGAAAAAAATGGATAAATGTTTAGTTTATACTTTTTATCCACAAGTTTTCTGACTGTTAGCTTGTTTTGCAGGTACTTTCTCATGTCCAATGAAGGCTTTTACTTTTAAAGTTGGCAAATGTAATTCCTGTAACTGTGTTCTCTTTCAAGATTGTTTTGGCTATTCTATTATGTTGTCATCTAAGTTTTAATATCTGCTTGTCAATTTCTGTGATATCAGTTGAAATTTTGTATCTGCTTATCAATTTCAGGCTATCAGCAGAAATTTTGATACAGATTACATTGTATTTGTAGATCCATTTGGGTGTTTCTACCATTTTCATGTTAATTCTTCCAATCTGTACAGCTATAGCTTTGCATTTATGGAATTTCTTTATATAGTGATGTGTATTTTTCAGTGTACAATTCTTGTGTTTTGTTAATTTGTTTTTAGTGAGCTTTTTTTCCTGTTTGAGTTTTTCATGCAAGATTTTCAGTATATTTCATTTATTATCTTTATTAATGGTTAAATTATACCACCTTTGACAAATAGGAACAAACTTCAATATGGAGTTTTTTGTACAGTCCTTGTAGTCTTTGGCTGCTTTATTCCTATTTAATATGATAAGATGTTCCAGCATTACTTATGCATTTTTTCATCTGTTCTTTTAACATACTTCATGGTTTTCTGGATCTCAGAAGTGTCTTAAGTAATTAAGGGCATAAAAATAAATTGTTAAAATCCTTATATGCCTGCTTATAGATGATCTCTCAATTGGTAAATTAGCTGGAGATAGATAGATGTTTGTGTTGGAATTAGTTTTTCCTCAGGATTTGAAGTCTTTTCTCTATTTTCTTACGTAATCAGTTTCTTATAAGAATCACGATGCCATTCTGATTTTTGATCCTCCACATGTTTCATTTACATTTGTCATTCCCCTTATTTTGGAAGCTTGTAAGATTGCTTTTTGTTCTTATTAATCTTTTAATTTTGCAAAAATGTGCCCAGTTTGGAACCCATTTGATGAGCACTATCCATTTCCTTTTAATATTGAACTTGATGCCTTATGTCTGAGAATTATTTACTTTTAACTTTTTTCTTTACTTTTGTTCAATCAGTTTCTTCTGCAACTATGTATGTATGTACTGGTTCTTTAACATTTTATTTTAGTTTTGGGCAGTGATTTTGGCATAAGGATAAATATCTAGAATAATGGAATAAAATAATAATTCATAAACTGAAATCTACAGTTAGTTGATTTTATTTTATTTTTTTAAGATTTATTTATTTATTCATACAGAACTGGGGTGCAGGTCAGAGATGCGGAGGGTGAGAGGATTCACCAGGAACAGAGTGGGGAGCAGAACAGGCAGATTGACGATGTACACTGCTGAGGGGAGCAGCAGGCGGGTCAGGAGAGGTCTGCCAGGCCCCGTGGATCACCTCCCCGGCAGGCGGAGATCGAACTCATGGGGAATTGGTTTAAGCTTCTTAGTGCAGTGTTTTAACCCGCTGTGCCACCAGGGAGGACCCAACAGTTAATTGATTTTTAACAAGCAACATTAAACCCATTGAATGAGGGAAAGAATCATCTTTTCAATAAGTAGAACCAAGATGATAGGCATGCGAAATAGTGAAATTGGACCCTTATTCATTTCGTATATAGAATTAACTAAAAATGTGTCAAAGACCTAAATGTAATAACAAAAACTAAAGCGCTTTTAGAAGAAAACATAGGAATAAATTCATACTTGTTTTTGGCACAAGATCTTAGATTATGACATCAAAACCAGGAGCAACAAAAGAACAGTAAGGCAAATTTTGCATCCTAAGGATTATTATTTCACTTCATTGGTCACCATTAAGCAATTGGAAAAAAACCTAGAGAATTGGGAAAAAATCTCTGAAAATCATATATTTGACAAGAAACTTTTTCTAGACAATACAAAGAATTCCTCCAATTCAATAATCATAAACTAACTTTAGAAAAAAGGAAAGAATTTGAATAGACATTTCTTCAACAAAGGTATACAAATGTGTAACAAGCACATGAAAAAATGTGTGACATCATTATTCACTAGGAAAATGTCAATCAAAACTTCAGTGAGATACTACTTAATACCCACTCGGGTAACTTGAATCAAAGTTGAATAACTACAAGTGTTAGTGAGGGTGTGGAGAAATTAGAACCCTTGAACTCTGTTAGTGGGATGTAAGCTAGCCCTACTGCTTTGAAAAACAATCTGCATTTCCTCAAATGATTAGGCAGAATTGCCATAGGATAATAATAGAATGTTAGCAAGTTCCATGTTTCTCAAATTGATACACATTTGTGCTGAAATACTATCAGAATCTTGTTAAAATGCTTACTTGTTTAATATTAGTAATCATAATTCAACCGAGCAGGAACTTTGCCTTTGTTAATAATTCTCTCACAGTGTGTAGGTTGTCATAACAGTAGGGGCATGCTATTAGGCCAATAGTTCTAATACCTAAATTCATTTTATCTGTGAAACACCAAGCTCTGTAGTGCTTGGTGTTTCTATCTCCTAAAATCTCAGAAGTCTGGACTATGTTCCCTTTTACAGGCATTTTAAATTGTAGATTCCTTTCTTTTGTCAAGTCATGCACCACTTGTCTATCCGTACTGTGTCTTGTAAACATTGGTGGAAATCACATATCCTTGAATTTTTTCCTCTCCAACTCTTTTTAATGGGTTTGTTTTTTTAAAAAAAAAATGGTTATTTGCTGTCAATTGGTGTTCTCAAAGTAGAAAAGAACAATTTGCTATTTTTAACAACTCAGTGGAGAAAATTAACCCTCTGTGATGGTGTGGAAAATATTTTAGGTGTTTTGTTTGTAATATAGACCCACTAGTATACTGGCAGATAGCGCCTAGTTTGAGCTACAGCTCCTGAACACACTGCCATGTGTGAGCCTACCCAAAATACCAGTAATACCCGTTTATCATTTCATCCTAGCCTTCCTTTAACCCAGTGTGAATGGTAGGTTTAGACACTAGCATTTTCTATGGCCGAGTAGTGTACAATCTTATTCATTACTGCTTTGGAAGCTGAGCTTTTTGAAACTAATTTACATTCATAAATAACTTTAAAGATAGGCTCATTATCATAAAATGGTAGAACAAATTGGAGAAATTGCATTCAGCTTTGTGTCTTGTTGTTTCTTCCTATTAACAGATATTTTGGTAAAAGGCCTCAGTGGGATTGTAGAGGGGCATCAAATCTTAATGAACTTCATCAGCTATTAAGCGACATAATGATTAGAAGATTAAAGACTGAAGTTTTAACCCAGCTGCCCCCAAAAATCAGACAGCGTATTCCATTTGATCTTCCATTAGCAGCAGCCAAGGTGAGAAATTTTGTTGGACTGAAAGTCTTTTTTTAAGTTATTTTAAATTATGCAATGAAAGATTGTACATTTTTCATATTTCACAGGAGCAAAAGTCCACTTTTTAAAAATAGATTTAATTAATAGAGCACATGAATTGGCTTTATTCCATTTTAAGAATAGAGCAGGAGAATTTTACTTTAGTTATCAAATTATGTGAACTGATTCAGTATCCCAGTGATTAAAAAATATTGCTACTGACTAAAGAAAAAGAGTACTTCTAATGCAAAAAAGAGTGTTAAGAACTCTAAATATTCGTAGGGTGTGAAATCCAATAATTAACAAGGGAATTTATGTTTCTTGCTCTAGGACTTTTAAAGTGTGAATAGTTATCTGCAAGAATAACTTGGACACAAGCTTATTCTTAACATCTTAAAACTCTGTCATCATATTTTAATATGTAAGGTTCAGCATATTAAAAAGCCAAATTGTGTTTTATCTAATTCTTATCGACACTTACTTTGGGGAACTATAATGCTTATACATTCTCTAAAATTTCTTCAAATCTGGGCATGACTTTACTGATACCGACTATTTAGTGCTCTGCTTTATCTTGAAAGGTTAGGTTTTGCATTTACAAACATTGAACAATTTGTTATCGATAAAATAATTATGGTCTCTTTTTTTAAGTAGCATTTTGTCTGCTTATTTTAGCATGAGAAAGATAAGAATCCATATATATAACATTTTTATTTACTAATATTTTCTGGGTTTCTGTTCATTTAAAAAAATCATATATTTTAATAAAAATACTTTGCCTACCATATACATTTTCATTATCCTGCAATCCATTACCCTGTAATTCATTACGCTGCAAATTCATTACCCTGCAATTGTATGATTAGTGGTGTTAGCAAAGAGCTTGAGTTCTGCCCATAGCCCCATAGCTTGTCATTTGTCATTAGCCTGAACACATGACTGCCTCCATGTTGATATTTTTAAATGAACACAATGGCATGTTTGGGACTTTGTTTATATCTTTCTGTATTAAAAAAAAAGTAAGCTATGATTCATTACTATGTTACTTATTCTGTTATTTTTAAATTCTCTATTTCTAAACGTTTTCTTCTACCTAGGAATTAAACACCAGTTTTGAAGAATGGGAAAAATTAAGGAGAGCTCCAAGTTCAGGTTCCACTGAGACTGTCATGGGATTGATTACTCGGATGTTTAAACAAACTGCTATTGCCAAGGTACTAATTGCTGGGCCATCATTTGTTTGTCTTAACCCACATTATTTAATGTATTTTCATGTTTTTATGCTGTCATACCTGTCTTTGTCATTTAACTTTTTAACTATCATAGAAATTTTTAGACATAATTCAAGTTTATGGTGTTAAAATAATGAACAACATTACGCCGGCCACATATTGGCCCCTTCCAATATATGAGTATGCTTTGATGAGGAAGTATCATTTGTTTTTTGTGTTCTAATTAAAGAACATGTATATATTATCATCTTTACTATTGGCTACTTCCATGATTTCACTACATAATTGCTACAAATAATCTTTTTTTTACTTAAGTCAATCATTTTTAATTGGTATTATTATGGTTTTAGTTCCCTGCAGAGATAGATGTACTCATGCTGTTTGTCTAAAAGTGCAAATTAGAGGGTGTTAGAATTTTTAAATCAGTGTGACTATCAAGTAGACTCATCACACATTGTTGTTACCCTTTTTTTTGATGGCATGGTAGAACATATACAATCTAAGGAGCCCATCCCTTTCTAATTTGAGGGTTTTTTTTTTAAGATTTATTTATTTATGTATACAGAACTGGGGTACAGGCCAGAGATGCAAGGGCGGTGAGAGAATTCACCAGAGACAGAACAGGGGAGCAGAACAGGCCGACTGGCAAAATTTACTGCTGAGGGGAGCAGCAGGCAGTTCAGGCTGCTGTGGTCATCTCCCAAGGCGGGGATCGAACTCATGCTGAAGAGGCTTTAGCTTCTTAGCGCTGTGCTTTAACCTGGTGCGCCACCGGGGAGGGCCTTCTAATTTGAGGATTTTTATAACAAATTTTAAAAGTAAGATTTGTGAAAGTATAGCTTACATGTACTAGAATTTGTCCTTTAAAATTGTGTCTGTGGTTAAGTTTTAATAAATATGTATAGTTAGTTAATCATTACTACAATCAAGGTAAAACTCCAGAAATGTTCTCTCATGCATCTTTGCAGTCACATCTACCCTCTGACCTGGCAGTCACAGATCCCTTATTTATCACTATAGTTTTATATTTCCCAAAATATCACAACAATGGAGACATATAATAAGTAGTATTGTGTCTGGTTTCTTTCATTTAGCATAAGGCTTCTACTATTTATCCAGAGTTTTATGTATGTTATTAGTTTAAAAAAAAAGTATTACTTAATATTCCCATTTATGGATATGTAACTTTTTTTTTTTTATCACTAGCTAATGGTTGTTTGGGCTATTCTTAGTTTGAGCCATTATGAATAAAACTGTTATAATCAATCATGTGCAGGTCTTTGGATGGACATATTTTAATGTCCTTTAAATAAATTGCTGGAATTAGACTTTTGGGTCATATGGAAAGTTTACATTTAACTTTATCAAAAATTGCCATTATACCATTTTCTATTCCTACTTGCTATGGATAAGAGTTGATTGTTCTGTATATTTGTCAGCATGTGCTATTGCCAGTCATTTTAATTGTTGCTGTTCTTGTGGGTATGCAGTAGTATCTCATTATTTTAATTAATCTTTTCTTAATGAGTAATGACATTGAGACTATTTTTATGTGATTTTTATCCTTTCATTTTCTTTTGTAAAGTGTCTATTCTTATCATACCTATACTTATATGGGGTTATGAGCTCTTTATATATTTTAGAACTAAGTCATCTAAAGTATACTTGTCTTTCAAATATTTCTTCCTAATCTGTATTCATTGTTTTTATTTTATTAACATTATCTTTCAAGGAACAAATTTCTACTTCTGAAACAGTCCAGCTTATCATTTTGTGCTTTTGCAATCCTACATAACTTTTATTTAATCCAGCATTCACAAAAATGTTCTCCTATGCTTTCTCTGTAAGTGCTGCTATGTCTTTCTGTCATTGTATAGCTCTACTGTTACTTTAAGTTGAATTTTTATGTGATACAAAGTAAGATAAGGGGACAAATTTATTTTAGTTTGGTTTGGATATTGATATTTTAACATAAGGATTTTCAGTTACTCTAGAGCTCTTATTGGGAAGATTGTTTTTCTTTCATTGAGTTACCTTAGCACCTTCTTTTAAAAAATCAATTGGATATATTTATATGTAGGTCTGTTCGTTAGCCTATACATCTAACTCTACAAACTACTATCCTGGTTTGATTATTGCTTCTATATAAGTCATAAAGTCTTATAGCATTTACCCCTACTTTATTCATTTTTCAAAATTGTATTGTCTATTATAACTCCCTGGAGATTCCATATGAATTTTGATCGGGATTATTTTGGATCTGCGATTTTATTTGTTAGAATTGAATTTTTTTTTGAAGATTTATTTATTCATACAGAACTGGGGTACAGGCCAGAGATGCGGAGGGTGAGAGGATTCACCAGGGACAGAGTGGGGAGCAGAACAGGCCAACTGATGAAGTACACTGCTGAGGGGAGCCACGGGCGGGTCAGGAGAGGTCTGCCTCACCACGTGTATCTCCTCCGGGGCAGGCGGGTATCGAACTAATGCAGAAGTGGCTTAAGCTTCTTAGTGCAGTGTTTTAACCTGCTACACTGCCTGGGAGGACCCAGAATTGAATTCTTAATATAAATCTTCTGATAAAAAGTATGCCTCTCCTTTAATTTAGTCCCCCTTTACATTCAGCGTTTTGATTATTATTATTTTTTGTTAAAGGTGTATTCATTTATGCATACAAGAACTGGGGTATAGGCCAGAGGCCGGGGTGGTGGGGTTAAGAGGACTCACCAGATAAAGAGTGAGAACAGAACAGGCAGACTAAACAAAATATACTGCTAAGGATCAGTGGGCTACACCTGGGCCACCTCCCTGGCCAAGGATGGAGCCCTGTGCTGCAGTGGCTACAACACCAGGGAGGACCCTAAAATACATTTTTTATACTTATTTCTAAGTATTTTATCTCTCTATACTCTTATAAATAGTATTGTTAATTTAAAATTTTCACTTTTTTCTGTTAAATATAGAACTTGTATAGATTTTTTTATACATTGACCTTTAAACTTGCTGAACTTATTTATTAGTTCTTATGATATTTCTGTAAATACTTTGGGGTATTCTATATATATATATAATAATTTGTTTTCATATAAAGATACTTTTACATCTCCCTGTAATCTATATGCCTCTTATTTGTTCTTATTGCCTGTCAAACTGAAAAACACAGTATAATTTTAATTAAAATTGAGATAGTTGAATGACCTTACCTTATCAATTTGAGGTAGAAAACATTTTATCTTTCACCATTGATTCATTGATTATTATACTATTTCCTTATGTCTTTCATAGATGCCTTTCTTTTTTAAAGATTTGTTTATTTATTCATCCAAGAATGGGGATATGCGGGGGGGTGGGGAGGTGAGAGGATTCACCAGAGATAGAGTGGGGAACAAAACAGGCAGGTGTACTGAAATACTCTGCTGAGGGGAACAGTGGGCAGGTTAGGGGAGATCTACCATGCCATGTGGGTAACTGCCTTGGCAGGGGATGGAACTTGGTGCTGCAGAGGCTGCAGGTAGTTTCATAGTGCTGTGATTTAACCCATTGTGCAACCAGGGAGGGTTCCATAGATGCCTTCTTTTTAAAGAAAGATTGAAAAGATTTCTGTCTTCTAGTTTGATGAGAGTGGAGATGAGATACTAGTTTTTTTTTTTTTTTTTTTTTCCTATTGGTTATCTATTCCTGGAAGTTGGGCAAGAAACCTTGGTGAGATCAGAACCTCAAAAGACACAAGACAGGAATCTGTAATTTCTAGAACAAAGGCAAGAATCTCTCTTCTGCCCAGGCCAACCCAGAGTTGCAAGATAGTTCGTTATCATAGGGGAAAAGGCAGAAATACCAGGAAAGTCCCACTCCCAAGTATCACCTGTAACAAACACCTGCCATGTATTGAGTTGGTACCAGGGGACCCATGGTCCCCACATCATGTACTTAACACCAAGAAAACATCAATATCAATCTACCACCAAGAGAGAGAAACACCCCACTATATAGAACAGGCATGGGGCTTCTTGAAAGCTGAAAGTGCAGCTGTAGCACTTAGAAAGAGCCTTGCTACATGTGATCACATGGTAGAAGCATCCCACTGCTGGGAAATTCATTTTGTGGTACACTGATGGTACATGTATATAAGAGAACCTATATGCAACTTAATACTAACAAGATTATCTTAGTTTCTCCTAGAGTATCACCTTGATAGGAAAAGACACATGTCCATGACTGTCTATATAGACAACCCAAGAAAACTTCCAGCTATCAGAGTCATTGGTTTCATGTTCAATTTACAGAAATCACCTGCATTTCTATATACTAACATTGAAAAATTATAAATTTAATTTTTAAAAAATAGAGTCTAGGCCCTCCCTGGTGGCACAGCGGGTTAAAGCACAGCACTGAGAATCTAAAGCCGCTTCCGTATGAGTTCGATCCCCGCCTGCCCCGG